GTGGCCGAAACGGTGGATAGAAAAACTCGGCGACTGGCACGGGGGCAAGACGATGTTGCAGGTCGACGGAGACTATGTAACTTGTGCTTGTCGGCTGGTTCGCCACTTCCCTCATTTCCTCTACCGGGGAATTTTAGCTCAAAGAAGACGAGCACAGTTTGCGTGGATCTCGTGTGTCCAGCCGCCAGTCGCGAGCGTGATATAGCCTTGATATCCTGGTCTAGTACAAGGATGACAGGTCCCAGGTTGAGCAATTCGTAGCGTAGCCTGGTTGTTGTGGGGGGCGAATGAGGTGTCGGTAGGTGGTGGGATTCTGAGCCGACACCAGTTGACAAGTTAACCATCCGAAGGCTTTGCGACCTGGTATACTCCGTACAAAGTCATAATAAATAATCACAAACTCATCGTCGTCCTTTGTTGGGCCATGTCCGCTGCGTGTTCCGTTCACGTGTCAGAGTGAGATAGAAGCGCCGATAAACGCGCAGGCTACATGCAGGCAAGCAAGCTCGAGCTCGGTCGCTCTTGCCTGTCCGGCTACTCCGTACTCTGTACACTGGCCCGGCTTGCTCTTTTGCCCTCCCGTCTCTCAATCCAAAACACACCCTGGAGCACAACCACACTTCAAGGGACAATTTCTTCCGCCACAGCATCTGGAACTTTTCTTTCTCCACCGAGGTAGCTGAATTGTCTTCGATTGTTCCATGCAACAGGCACACTTTGCCTACTCTATTGACCCAGAGCCTCTGCATTTGGAAGGCACGCTCAAACAAGATCAGACAACCCACCTGCGTCCGAGATGCTGTCAAGCCTTTTTCATCTTTATACTTGTTCAGCCCCCGTCCATGATGGAAGCAGAGAAGTCAGATCTGCGCCTAGCGTGAACGTCTTTTGCGTCGTACGGAGTACTAATTTCGATTGAGCAAGCAGGAACAGAAGTTGTGTAACTGTGTCTCGCATGAAATCCACCATCTCCACCATCTTGTGAGAGGCCCTTGACTTCCTCTTTCGTCAAGCTCGAATCTCAGGTGTGGAACACAGTAGAAAGGGTCTGCTGCACGCCGGCCAAGATGAAACAGATCCACAACTCCCGCTGCCGACGGCCATCCGGCGACGGGGACCGATACAGCCACATGTACTCTGTATATGCAATGACTACCTAGGCCTTTTGAGTCCTTCAAATGACCTATTCCAGGGAGAGCTGGCTGGAGAAAGTTGAACCATAAACTGTATCAAATGGGGGATTTTTTTCTGCCAATTCCGACACAAAGGTGGCTAGTCGGCGCATTGATCGGAAATAGTAGAGCACCCTTTCCTATTGGCTGCCTAGTCTGTCCTTCAGCCAACGCAATTAGCATCAACTGTCACAACTGCTGCAACGTTTTGCGTGATTGGCTGTTTTCTTGGACCTAACCGCGAGCCGATCTTGGCAGGCTGAGAATCGAAAATTTAGTCGTCGTTTTTGGTACTGCAGAGACTTTACAACAAAAGTACAGGTTCACCGCAAATGTGCGTCCATTTATGAAGGTCGTGGCATCAATCAGAAGCAGAACAGGCCCTTCACGAAGCTGAGAAGCGAGCTAAAAGTGCTGAACAGGCCGGACAGGAAAAGGAGAGGCGCGCTAAAGAAGAAGAACGAGCGAGACATGAAGCTGAAAAAACTAAAGTAGTGGCGGAAAACACAACGAGGAGTTGGTGGGGGCTCAGGTATGGCTGATTACGTCAATAATGCAAGCAAAGAAACGGGCAGAAAGGGCAGAAGCAGGGCTGGCATTAGCAATTGAGAGCGAGAAAGAGATCAGACGGCAGCTCCCGTGCGCAATGCTGTTAAGCCGGCTATCTCGCTCAAGCAACAAAAGAAGGGGCCTTTTAGTCCGAATAAAAGACCACAGCTGTCAAAATCAGCTGCACACAATAAGACAGGGCGTAAGAGCTCGGAAATGACGTAGCATGATAATTGACTATAATATTTAGGGCATGATCTTAAACAAATAGTTCATAATTAGGAAGCGGAAGAAGTGATATATGCTTGTTTCACGTTTAGTACTAACTTGGTTAAGGTTTACGAAGTGCGGAGAAATTATGAGATGACCGAATCTTCTCATCTTATCAGATATGTCCGTCATGCTAAAGAAATTATGGTCACAACTTCTAAGGTTTCTATCCTTGGCGCGCAAGGTCTATTTCTGGATCTCAAAACCACCAAGAAGCTGTTACACGCTAATGTAGCTCAGACCGTGTCTAGACGACATGCCTGAAAATTCAAAGTTAGCGAGGAGACTAAACGGATCACGCTCTTCTAATGGACAGATCTTACCGATGTTGTCAATAAAGTTGCAGAGGGTTACTATGTTTAAGATGCCGTTACGGTTAGCGTGCGAAGCGAAAGAATCTGAGCAGTTTCAATTGCATTCGTTTCAAATATTAAGCCGAGTGATATGAGAAATCCATGTGGTCAGATGCCAACACTTTAAGAAGATAACTTGTCAAGGAAAGCTGCCGGAACATATTAAGAGTTCAAATGTAGAGTGATGGTCGGGACACTCATCTCGACACTACGCATTGCCTTGAGGAACAAGCCACCTTCTCAAAGCCGTCCTCTAGACTTGAACATGATTGGGTCTTTTTGAGTTGTAGCATTGAATTTGATGCAGTTGATACTAGTGAAACTCAAAAGTATCAATCTGGCCTTGATGAGTAGAACCTCTAATTCGCACAACGGTGATGGGGGAAACCTGTTAGTCGAGGATAAAAACCTACACCAAGGTACTCAGAAACCCAAACACAAATTGACTTGAACCATTTCTCAACACGTCAATTCCATAGCAATACCGGTATTCCCCTCCAGAACCATTAAGGCTCAGCATTCGCTGGGCAGACCCATCTAGTGCAAGTGCATCTCTGCCCACAACCCACGGTTTCTTTATTCTCGCAGTAGCAACCGGTACAACGACAAGCAATCTGAGCAGTCGGCTGCTGGTCTAGGCGCTGCCAGTGCTCCAAGGTCACGAGGACTAGTAGACAAGGCGAATGTAGTGCCGGACAAAGACAGGAAGAGGGGTAAGAAGCTTCATAGCTGCGTATGAGATCTCAAACACGATTTTGGAATCATCGTACAGAATTGTGGAATGAATATAATATACGGGAAAGCCATGATTAGCAAGAGGGCTACTTGTGTATTTCTCTCTCGGAGAATGTCTGCAATGCATTAATAATAGCAGTATCTAGTCTTCAGCTGAAACAAAACTACTCAGGCAGTCTCATGCTCTACATGATACCACAAGGACCGTACGAGCCAAATCCAACGTCCCTCACATCCCGGGAGATACCTACACCAAGACTATGACGTCTTAGATCATGCCTCAGCTGACGGACGCTAGCGATAACTCTTGGCTGTCTTTACCAGTGTCAATACCGTGTCCCGGGATGCCCAGCGTGACAACCGGACAAAACGTTGGACGGTTCACTAATCAGCCGTATAGTCGCCAGTTTGCCTATGCGTCCGACATAATGTCGCATATTGTGGAAGCGATTAACAACACTACATCCGTTTCTGGCGCCCATCTCAAGTAAGCAAATCGTTCATAATGGCCACCATCCGCTGCAAGTGTTGATGAGAAAAGTCTGCAGACACGGCAGCGGTTCTGCCAGGCCGAGTATATCCTGAGATGCTGGGACCTGTATACCGAAAACGGATGTAACACAAAAGAACAGAAATAGCCGCCATTTACTCCATCCGCCGGCTCTAGGAGTACTCGAGCCCATACGACTTATAAGTCGATCAGCAACTTCCCCTGAATGAGGGTTAATCCCCCCCGGCTCCAAGAGTTGGTTTCCCGCATCACACAATGTCAAGTCAACATCGCCAGCGTGACGAGCATGACGTGAATTTCACAACAAGCTCAGCGAGGAGTAGCCCGATATCCAAGCTCATGAAATCGGGAATAGGCCTGCGAGAATTTTCACTTTTTCCAGCGTCGTCTCAACTTGATTCCTCCCACGACATCAAAGCCAGCAAGCACTGTTGGATCTGGGCGGCGCGTCTTGACGCTGATTTGACAATTTCTTCTTCTCCGAATCATGACGTCGTCAGGACACGTGGATAGAGACTCTCTCTCTCTCTTTTCAAAAAAAAAAAAAAAAGTGTTTCTGGCCCGACTTGATCGTCTTTACACACGGCTGCTAGTCCCGAAGCTCTTGAACTAGCTACCGTGCAGCAGCCTACCGTCTTTGAGTTTAATTGTTAATTGGGTTATTTGGACTTTTCTACGGGACGTGAAATTCAGACGGTTGAACGGTCATGAGCAAAAAGTTGGGCTGGCGTTTTCCATGATGCCCTTTGCCAAGCCTTCATGCTTCGGGGTAGTAGATTAAAGGCAGATTTCCCCGTGGCAGTGGCAGTGAAATAATACGTCCACGCCCTCGCCAGTCTCAATCTTGTCCGTCTCAATGCCGAGTCTGCATCACCGAGCAAATATCAGTTCCGATTGGAGATACCCTTTACGGGATGACCTGCGACTAGCTATGCCGTGGGGACCTGGCATGGTTTGCGTCGTTGACTTCTTTTATATTACAGCCGTGCACACCTTTCAAGGCAACCCTCACATGTTACGCGCCTACATCTGAAACCATCTTCAGCTGGGACAACGTAGACTAAAGAAGAGAGAAAATCTATTGTTGGCGCTGCAGCATTTATGATACAGACAGAAATCACCGTCCCGCAACGGCAAAGGCGCCCCAAAACAAGAATCATCTCAGGCCGCCTGCCATTCCAGTCGTGGCAGATTATACATGGACACGTTTCCCCGGCGTTCACTACTCAACCCCTCATTTTGTGCTTTGCGCCTTTTGCACATTTCCTTGATCAGCGCGAATTGGTTGCGTCCAAGATATTTCCCTTGCAAAAAGGTGCAAGCCCATCGCTCCCACCAGTTGTTTAGTCCGACAGGCGAGAACATTTCAGAACACGGAAAATATGGCTTTTGACGTTGGCCGGGGAGCATTTATCGGAGCTTGGACCATAGCTTGGGAGCGGCGCAGGCGCTGGCGCAGTGGGCAAGGTGGAAGACTAGATGCTCAGTTAGCTGGACCGTATTCGCAGCGAAGATGGCTCGGGTTGGGCCAGTTGAATTAATCCCTCGTCGTTGGATTCGTCCTATCAACGGCAGGGCTTGGACTTGTAATCGTGGGCTCAGACGTACACTCCTCGACGCAATCCTCCTTGGCTTCGCCTTCGCTCTCCTGTTGGTGAACACGCTCGACACACTCGTCGAAGTGGTGCTTGGCCGGGGCACACTGAGCGGAATTTTTGCATTCTACCGTAAAAAAAAAGTCAGCACACACCGTATTAAAGTAAGGGGAGTAGTTGTCCCATTGTAGGTGTTGTCGTTATTCAAGAGAAATGCCTCGCCGGACAGCCGAGGACAGGCGAGCCAACCGTGCTGACGGAGAAGGGGAATGAAAATGTCTAGACGGACCTTCCTCAAGAGTCTCCTTGGGGTCGACAATCTCTTCCTCTTCCTCTTCTTCCTCTTCTTCCTCCTCCTCCTCCTCCTCCTCCTCCTCCTCCTCCTCCTCCTCCTCCTCCTCCTCCTCCTCCTCCTCGTCCTCGGCGGCCTCGGTGGCTTCCTCGGCAGGCTCTTCGGAGGTCTCTTCGTCCTTTGACTCGTCCTCGGCGCCCTGCTCCTCCTGTAACAGCTGTGTCAGTATTTTAGTTCACGATTGAAAGTCCTTTCGTTGAACCCCGTAAAGGACTGATGGCGTTGCACCAATGGCCATGGTGGACACCGCAAAAGGTTCGTCACGCTCGGCAAAGGGGAACAAGCCGAAATCGTACCTTGGGCTCCTCGGCAGGGGCCTCGGCCTCAACAATGCTCCATGGCACAACGGCCTCGACAATCTCGGAAAGGGCGTCCCAGATACCCATCGCGACAGGTGGATAGATCACAATGGAAGGTTATGGTTGTGTGTTTTGAGCTATCTCCCCAAGATCGTAAGAGGTCGGAAGCTCTCGGTCAAAGTCGCGCGAGTGAAATCTGATCCGGAATTGGCATAATTTGATTGGTTGACTGGCATCCACAGGAAAATCGCATGTCACGCATCAAATCACGTGATGCACTGGCTCCAGAGTACGGAGTACCAATTGGACCTTCAGTTTATGGCACTACTGCAGCAGCGGTAATGATGGGTGGACTAAAAGCCACAGGCGGCTTACTAACACAATCGAATGTCAAGACTCGAGGTGATGGATTCTCTTAGGATATCATTTGGGTTCTGTCGACGTTATTTCAACGAAACAGGCAAGAGCACTATTGGTATAGCTTTCTCAAGGTAAAAGTTGTTCCTATGGATCTCCCGGCTGTCTGAATCTTGCCAACCCATACCTGCGTCAATGTTCTAATATGACAACTCGTAAAAATAAATCAAACTGCCAATCCCAAACCCACCGGAATATGTCATTTTTGCTCCCAGCGCCGTGAAAGCCGTGTAATGGCTCAAGTAGGGCTTCGCAAATATCATGGTATTCATAACCCGTCTCTAAAGTATGAGCTATGCAAGTCAAAATGCGGTTTTGGTGTGGTGGCCCCTGGAAACCGAGACGATGCAAAAACGCTGTTACTAAACAAAGAAACCAAGTCAAGATCACTCGTCCGTGGCACCTCGATCCACTTCCCCCCGAATGTGGTCTTCCAGGCGCATACTGATCTGCTGTGCTTGCGCTTCGTCATAGCCAGGTGGAGGTTCATCGGGTGCCCGGCGACTGGAGGAGCTGTCTGACCGATTGGTCCGTGGAACGGTCAGTGTCGTCGTCGATTCGGGTGGATTTGCACCGGGGCCCTCATATGCTGGCAAAGGCTCATCTGGTATATCGGCACCGGGGCCCATCTCCCTTCTCATTTCCTGGTACTGGAACAAGCGTTCTCTGAGCCGTATGTATGCTTCATTGAACTCCATCATGCCGCCATCGGAGAAGGTGAATTTCACTTCTATTCTTGGTAGGTCAGGCGGAATGTTTCCTCCAGAGACGGGGATGCAGTCCGACTTCCATACCCAGCCCCACCACATGGACGATGATGTACTAGAGTCCTGGAACTTGAGAATTGGTGCGCTGAAAGATTCAAATTTTGGCTCATGTGTGGGCTTGGAGGGGAGGTATACAATCTAATTTTCCGCGTTAGCATATGGGAGACGGGATTGTGATACAAGGATTGCCAGGCATGGTTTGGGAGACTAACTCTCTTATTAGTGAGGAACAATGTGCCCTTGTCGCTCTTACACTGAAACGGGGTACATCGGGCCTTGAGTTCCTGGGGCACGGATAGGTCGCATGATATCCTTGAATCAAGTTTGAGGAGAATTCGTTCGTTTCCAAGCTTGACAAAGCCCCCTTGATTCAGCATAACCCAACTAGCAGGAGAGTCAGGATCAGTAGGACGTCTTGGACGAGATGGGCTGGTGATCAGATAATCATGAGGGTTGTCCATGACGAAAAGCAGGGCACTTGACACCCATGGGGATGATGCCCATGGGAAACGGTAAATCTAACGATATAAAACAGGACAAAGTTTATAAAAATGAAAACTAGAGAAAAGGAGCCAGAGGTGGCGAGAAGAGTCTGGAGTTAAGAGGTGAAATTGGTCAAAGTATGACCATCAATGCCAATGGTCCAGAAATGGGTGAATTGAGAAGCACAACAAGAAGGGAAAAAAAAAAAGACGGGCCCAGAACAAATAGGCACAAGGGAGAGACGAAAAGGATAAGATAGGGCAGGAAAGGATAGAAGGGGTGAGGATGAGGGTGAGGTGAGGGTGAGTGAGAGGTGAGGAAGTCTTCAGTCTGTGAAGCTAAGGGGAGGGGTGTGTAGCGAGGAGTGAATTGAGAGAAGACACCAGTCGTCCCATGCTGAAGAGGCTTACTTTATCGACATTGTCACGGACAGGGTTTGGGCAAACCCTAGCAGCAGTAGAAGCAGTGGCAGAAGCCGCGGCAATAGTCGCACCCGCAACTCGTCTCCAGATTCCTGGGCTGCACCTTGAGTAGTACCCAGACGGGCATCGCCTCGCAGGCAAGCGTTTGCGCAAGTGGTGAGAGATGTCGCGAGTAACAGGAGCAGTCGACGGATTCAAAGCTCTCAACGACGAGGTGGGTGTGGGGCACATTCGCACATTCGCGGTCTGGCGGGAATGGGCGCGGGAACGGGCGAGGGCGTGTCGGCGACAAGCCGGGAGGATGAGGCAAATGAGGCAAATGATGGAATGATGGCGAGGATAGAGTACGGAGCGCCGAGTGAGTAGGTGGCTGGGAGAGGAGAATGGGAGGGGAATAGGGGGAGGAGAAAATATGACGGTTGGAAGAAGCGTGAAGTGAAGCACGACGGAAGAGGGACTGAGGGACAAAGGCTCAAGCTGCGCATGCACACGCTGGAGGGCTTGGGCACGCAATGTTGGGGACGTTGATGGCCATTAATATGCAAGGCAACGGCAGCCTGAGGCTGAGGGCTCGGGGCTCGGGGCTCGAGGCTCGAGGCTTGGGGCGCAAGTGCCCTGCCGTCGGCCCTCCAGATGTCAGCCTGGTCGAGATGTCAAGATGGTCAACTGTGAGCAGGCCCTGGGCGAGCACAGGAGGAGAGCACTCAATGTTGGCACTTGAGGGGCAAAAGGCGAGGCGGGGGAGGCCCCCCAAGTGCACGCGCAATGGGGCCAGTGAATGGCGGGAGGGGGGCGCTGGGGGGAGCAGGAGGGGCCCGTGGATGGGGATCGATTGCTGAGCCCTGTTCACTACTGGGCCATCGACTTGGACACGGCTAGTTGACTGGCTGACTGGCCGGATTCGAGGCGGCTTCTGCGGCCAAAGCGCCTGCACATGAACAAGCAACAAACGTTGACATCAATTCATTGAAGCAGAGGGAGGCGAGACGGCCCCTACCCAGTTGCCAGACACGTCAAGCCAACATTCGACATGTCCATGTCCGCTCGTTCCCGACTATTTGTGCCACCACCACTCCGCCGCGCCTGGCTAGGTGCCCAAGCAAACCGAGTCGGAGGAACGAGTTTGCGTCCGTCTGTCCCGACGGCACATTCAGACCAGCAGAACTCCATCGACCAACTGCCAACAACATCTGGACATGGGCAGTAATCTCACGACCGGAAGGAGGAGACCAGTGAAATCCAGCGACTTGCAGCCGCGGCATCAAGGGGCAAACAGCTACCTACGCACGCAGTCCGCCGTTGGATCGAGGAGAAATTGGTAGTTGTGTCTGGGATATGGTCCGTTCCGAGTACCAAGTACTCATGTACTCAAGTACGCAGGGCTCTTTGCTCAGTCGCATGCGCAGCAGGCTGGCAGCCGGTCAATCAATTAGTCAGGCCATTCTCCAGACATGATCGACGTGGTAGTGCAAATGAGGCCAATATTTCGACAGATGCATACTTAGATGCCACTCCGTCGTCGTCTTCGTCGCCATGCCTCGTGAAAAACCCAACCCCAGGCGTGAAGCCGTCTCCACACGCGAGGTTTTTGTCGCGAATGTGTGTGATGACCAGGACAGCACGGTGTTTACACAGGCACGCAACCATGGACACGGTTGACGAGCCTAGATTTCGGCCAGGGGACCCTGACGTCTTTTTGACGTCCCTTGGCGTTCCTTGACGGACCCTGGACGCTTCTCTCCAACTAGGAAACAGGTTCTCGACTTCTTCAGCGATTGGATCCGGCAAGGCAACAAAAGGAAGGGGATGCTACAACGGCCGAAGCCTAAAAGGGTTTGTGAAACAAGGTACCAGGTTGTTGGGAGCACAACTAACCATATATACATACATATAAACGTACGTACATGCAGCGCTTGGTCTTGGCTGTATTTGCGCATACAGCTAACGGCCTACATCAGTAGTCTTGTGTCATCTTGCGCAGTGGCCAACACCCGTCGTGTTATTCCGGGACCTGATTGATGTATGTATGTATGGATTTGTATGGACTGTCCAAGAAGTCAAGTTGGTCTTCCATCTGTCGTTCTGGCGCCCAGAACTTTATCCCCGGCCCTTACACGTGTATAGTACCAGACCTTGACTGATAAGACTCGACATCGAACGCTTACTCCGCCCGTACTTGGGTAAGCATAATCAACAAGTAATAGCCTCCAATGTTGTCCAAGGCTGGCGGCGACATAACAGACACACATACGACTTGCTGGTTCAGTCCTGACTGGGCTGCATCTCTGGCGCCTTTCTCACGACCAACCAAGGCTTTCACTGATATGTGTGTTCCCTGAACTGTCGGCTCAAATGCTCCGTGCCCTGGTATTTCGGTTTTTCCTCAATTGCGCATTGGCACTATACGTACGCCAGGGGTGAGTAAGCACGAGCTGCCGTCGTCTGGTTCTCCACGTGCCTGAAGCCAATCCATCCTGGCCAGGCAGGCGACGAGGCAAAGCGGCAAGCGGCGATGCTGCGTGAAGCAGTGCAAATAGGCAGGCAGGCTGGCAGGGGCAACCAGCAGCAAGAGCCCCATCAAAATTGGAAGGGGCTCGTCTCTCATACAGATGCTGTCTCTTCTCTTGTCTTCTCTCGTCTTCTCTTCTCTTAACCCGAAATCGCCCTTCGTTGGGCGACATACGGAGCTCGCGGGTGGATCATCACACCGTCTGGCTAAGAATGCTCCCGATTTTCCTTACAAGCAGCGTATGTACTGCAATGTCTCAGGTCCTCTGGCGCGACTTGATGACAGGAAAGCAAACCGGCCGGCGCAACGCCACTGTGCCGCTGGATGTGCCGCTGGATGTCCGCCACTTCGTTGCATCCCTCACTCTGTTGAATCCAGCCATAACCCTTGTTCATGTGGGGTTGGAGCATGTCGACCCAGCGCCAGCATTTCCGTGGACCGGGCAAGGAGACCCGTCCACTTTGAAAACGTGGATGATTATCGCGATAGGTGTGGTGATGTGGTGTTCCGCTTTGGTCCGACTGCGCCTCTGCCTCTCTGCCTGTGGCCGTTCAACAATAAGAGGTGGCCACGAAGCTGGTCGATAATGACCCCGACTTTAGGTAACCTGTATGTGCCCTCTGGGTGGCAAGGTAGCAGTGCCTAGTCAGGAGAGGCTTATCACCTAGAGGATTAGGACCAGGAGTTCATGCTGATTGACATGGTAGAAGCACTAACCAAGCCTCGAAATGATCAGGCGATGATCCCTCTAGGGCTAATGCAAGTGAAATGTAAACTGCAGGCTGGCTTTGGCCGACCACCTTGGACCAGTTCACCACCTAATGAGCAGATAGGGCTAACTTGCTATCTCGTACCTGCATGTGAAGTGCAGCAATGACGACATCGGATGGCCAGCTGACTCGACCTGCGTCTCGGCATTTGTATCTGGCAGGACTCCGGGAATTGCAAATGCTGTTCAACCAAGCCGCGAAGGCCGATACTTGACTGATGCCCAAGGCGTGCACAAGAGAGATTCAAACTACCATAAATTGAACTCGGCTGCCGCTATAATACATGTGCACCGTGCCGTTGCCATGTCGATCTGGGCTGACGAACAACAGCTACCCCGGTGCCCAACCAATCCAAAATATCGACCAGCCATAGAACTTGAGAGACTTCGAAGACCCGAGCTGAGCGTTGAAACTAAAATTAGCCACAAACTCTATTCCAAGTTCGGAGACATACCACGTCCATGTCTCTGGTATCAAATTTTGCCAACGTCTGTCTGTGGTCAGTCAACTTCAAGTCGCTGTTTAGTTGCTTTGATAACTTCGAAGCTTGTGCACCGTATTCCAAAGTCTAGACCTCTGCACTGCCTGCTCTGCAGGGAGTCCACCGCACACCCACCTTGGTCGCAACACATCTTATCAACAAACATAAAGTTTGGCACGCTTGGACTTTTCGTATAGCACATTTGCAGAAAAGGGGCAGATACTAGTGTTCCAAACACGGCAGACCTGCTCGATGCTTGCCTGGAATCATCCATCTGCCACCCTCCAGCTTGGCGGGCACGTCGTCGGCGGCTTTCGGCTTCAGGGATCCCTCCCGCCTCGTCCGTCGGCAAGCCATGTTATAATCCCGGGGGGAAAGCAGATGGTAAATAGAGTTGGTTGCGGGAGACGCATGCACACGCTGTAAAACAAGAAAGACATGGACAGAAAGTCGCCCAGAGAACCCCCTCCCTTCCCAGGTGGCCGCACCACAAGATGGACAGTATTTTAGCACAGATTGCTCTTGTTACACCAACAAGTCCTGGCCCATGCCGAATGAGACATGAAGACGGATTCGGGGAATAACCGCTCTGTTTCTGATTGGCCCATTCGGCAGCCGGACGGGAGCTCCCGTGCATTGACTCCCAACCGGGAAGCCGCAAACCGCTGGCCCACCGGACTTGCAACGGACAGGATGGGTCAGCCGAGCCGAGGGGCAACGACATGGGAACTCCAGACGGGTGCCAATGCGCGGCCTCAACTCAACACACAAGAAACACGGGCCGTTCCAGGGCCATGTTTCCATCTTGTGCTCGAGTTGCCCCCAGAATCGCTGTGCCACGGCTCAACTTTCTCCGCACAACACCATTTACCAGCATCGTCCCCAGTCTGGCGTCACAAGCCATGTCGACCGCCACGCTCGCCCGCCTCGAGCAATACACTGCATGTGACATCTCGGACGCCCTTCTCAAGCTCAAGGTTCCCGGGGCAGGATTTATCGCAGATCTCAACCCATACAGCACCAAGCCGGGCAAAGATGCCGATGCCCTAACCATTGCGCCCGTGTCCACCATTCTTTTCGCCGCCAAGGGCGAGGTCCTCCCCGAACCACAGCCAAACGTCCCCAAAGACACGCACTGGAGCGATGCCACAGAACCGGGTACATTTGTGGTGATGAAGCAGCCCCCAGGCCAGACAAACGCCGTCTGCGGCGGCATCATGGCCCTCCGCATGAAGATGCGGAATGTAAAGGGCATCATGGTCGCCGGCCGCGTCCGAGACGTGCAGGAACTCAAGAGCACCAGCCTTCCGGTACTGCCATTCCCCACCACTCACCTTGATTCCAAAGTAAGCAGGGCATGACTAAACCCCATTTACCCATCGTCAACAGGTTCTAGCCCACGGCCTCTCGACAGTCGGGTCTGGCGGCGGCAGCGTCCCGTGGGCCATGCAAGTGCCCCTGGACATCAACGGCGTGACCGTGTCCCCGGGGGACATTGCCTTCCAGGACCCCGTCAACGGCGTCGTCATCATCCCCGGAGACAAGGTGGACCAGGTCCTCGAGATGCTGCCAAAGCTCGTTGCCGCGGACGACAAGGTCAAGCAGGACGTGCTAAAGGGCATGTCGGTGTATGATGCGTTCAAGCTCCACCGGGGTACATGAAGTCCCTTCTTTCTTTCTTTCCTTCTTTCATCTTGCTTTCTTTTCTTTTCTTTTTACCCCACACCTTGCGTTTTTGTATGTTAGACCGAGTAGGGTAATGACTGCAACGATTAACACTAGGGCAGTTTTATCTAGCCGTGCTTCCAGGGAGCCTGTACCGTGCTTGATCCTGCGCCATACGCAATCATTGGCATCCTGTCCTTGGTGCATGCTTTAGCAGTAGCCGATACTTGCCCTGTTGATTGGGATTGAAAAAAAAAAAGCACCACTCTAAGCCTATTTTGCAGGACTCACGGCAAGAAGACAAACAAAGTCTCCCAACCACATAACAAGCACATCATGCATGTACATCACTTCAGCCTGGCCAGACACATGTTTCATAATTCATCAATTCATTCATGCAATCAATGCATTCGTACCATACCATCTGTCCCAAGTATAAACAGTGAAGGAATAGAGAAATAAAGAAAAAAGAAATTCCCCGGAGAGAACCCTAAAATGTAACTGATAACCCAAAATGGACTGGTAAACCATAAGAAATGATGATATGCAGATGCAAAGGAGTGACTGATCCCAACAGACACCATCGCTCCTTTTCCAATCTTCTGTTTTTGATGAAATGAAGAGATGCAAAGGCCTCATGAGCCCCGCTGATATTTTTCATTACAGCCAAGAATCCTTAGCCGGCTGGTTGTTCCCAAAATCGAGCTTGGGCATTTCCAACCTTGGCGGCGCTTCAACCTTGGGCTTCTGGCCGCCGCCCATCTTCTTGGGAGACCTCGACTCGGGAGGAGGACCGAACCGGACATCCTTGACATCCCAGCCATCTTCGGCTGCAGCAGCAACCCATGTTCGCAGGGCGACGTGTACACTGCCGTAGAATTTCTCCTTGCAGATACGGAGACTGCCGCCGAGGCATCGTTCCCAACCTGAGATGCGGAACTCGGCTCGCAGGATATTTCGCTCGCGAGCCGAAGGGGTGCAAGCAATGATGGCGTTCATGAGGTCCAGATGAGAAGCAAGATAGTTTGTCGCATCCCATTCGACACCCCCGACATAGGGGGCAGCAGGGACCGGTGGACGTTCCTGAGGGAAATTGCGCAGCATGTATGCGAATGGGCCGTCGCGATCCTCGTTGGCAAAGTAGCCTTCTTGAGCAGTAGACCGTGCCGCCTTGTCGCTGGGCAATGCAACAACATTCAAGTTGTGCAGGAAGATCCAGAAGACTTCTTTTGTCACAGAGACCACTTCCTTGCACCACACCCGGTATGGTCGTTCTTGCCTCATCTCCAAGACGAATGGAAGTGGACGCTGGCCTTCTTCTGGATCCTTATCTCGAAGATGACCGAGCACATTCTTGGCTCTGATGACGCGTTCCACCAGTGGAGCAGACTCTATATATGTTAGAAGAACGGACGTGATAATATTTCGAGTAGTAAACTCGCTGGGTCCTTTCTTCTCTGGGTCAAAGAGCATATGCAGCAGCTTGGGGAACAGATCCGCTTGAACAGCATTGAGATATTCCATAGCCTTGGCAGTGGTGGCGAGGCCCTTCAGACACAGCAAGTTCTCGTGCAACAAGGCATCCTCATGCTCCTCTCTGCGACGTCATGTCAGCTTGCAGTACAGATCGTCTCTTGGGCCGGTTTGTGTGACACTTACCTCCACTCGACCTCCATGATGCGGTTCAGCAAGCCAACAATCTCGTGCATGCCGCCCTGCTGTATAAAGTCCTCAATCCATGCCACAGTTTCATTCCGCAACAAGAGACGCAGCTTGTGAAGCTTCCCCACCTCTACCAGTTCCGGCTTCTGTACCTTTCTGAGGTAGGCAACGTAATCAGACGGGCCTTGCTGAGCCTTGATCTTGGAGAGAAACCCGGATGCCCTGGAGGACGAAGAGGAAGAAGGACGGGCATCAGAAGCGACACTGTCTGTGGATCGGCTTCTGAAATGGCGGCCAAGAGTTCCCTCTGCCTTGGACTTCTTTGCTGGCGAGCTGGAATCTTTCTTGCCTCTGGAAAATGTAAAGCTTCTCCCCCGGCTGCGCTTAGGTCTCTCCTCATCCTCATTAGGACTATTTGGGTCGCTGACAAGAGCCTGCTCGGAGCTGCTCGTACTACCTGTTGTACCCGTAGTTTCGGGTCGATCCGCCCTAGCTGCCTGCATCTCGGCGTAATCCTGACGGATAAACTCGAGCTTGATGGTGTCGGCCAAGTTGCGCATCTTGTATCGCTGGTTTTCGGGGATGTTCCGACGATCCAGAAGAGCCTCCAGCTGCTGATCAATATCTTTCGGGTCGATTTGCAGTTCGGCGGAGGTATTCGTCGGGGTCATGGCCGCGCCAAGTCCACGGCCATGGCCGAAAGGACCTTTACCGCGAGGAGTTTGACCCGGGTGCATAGACACGGGCCGCGTAGCACGACCGTTTGCTTTGGAGGGTGAAGCGGACGGTGAAACGCCATGATGCGGCTTTGGAGACTGGAACGACCTGGGCCGGTCCTTGGTAGCTTGAATTGGCGTGTTTTCAGAACTGCTCTCCTGCCTCATGGCTCGGTCGGAAGTGAACTGGGCGAAAATCGGCGGTGGTCGTTCATTGACAGGTGTCCCATCGGGCGTCATATTCTCCTTATCTTTTGTTCGGCTCTCTTCTTCAGTAGCCAGCCTGTACAAGTTCTTGAGCGATTTCGGTCGTGACAGTAGTCCTACAAGGTTGGTTCCGGACTTGGTCTTCTTGGGCTTCTTCTCTGGCGATGGATCTCGGAATTTTGCCATCCGCCCCGTCTCCTTATCGGCACTGGGTCGGAATGCAAGCTTGCCCAGGGCAGACTTTGTGGGTGACTGTGAAGCGGCTCGAGGTTCATCACGGGACTTTCTTGGAGAGCGAGGAGCAACATCCTGATGGTTCTGCTGCAGCTCACCCAAGGCACCGGGGTTGTTCCGAACGAAGTGTCCAGCCATGTTGTTGTCTGAACAGCCGAGCTGTTCCTCGACAGGGGAGACAGTCGGCAACGCCTTGCCGCTCGAGGGTTGTCGACGATGGAGAAACGAAACCAGAAACGAGGAGGGCTTCGACGGGGAATTGCCTTGAGAACTGGGACTTTCTCCACGACTGCCAGATGCCATTGCCGGCGGTAGACACCAACGTTTCAATTATCAAGGCGATTTCTCCCCAAAAATCCGTTGGCCAAAAAGACGTTGCCAGACCCGGCCGTTAGCCCGTTATTGCCACAGCCACAGGCAGGTCTGATGGTAGCGACGAAACAGCCCCTTGAGCGTCTGCGTCGTAGAGGAACAAAAAAGAAGAGGGTCAAGGCATAAAGAAACACCGAGCTTTGCGCAAGCAGCACCAGGAAGCGGTAACTAAATTGGGGATGAAAGAAAAAGACCTATTCTACACCATTGCTAATATAAAACGAAAAGGCGGAATGAATGGTTTCTGCAGAAGCTGTCCTCTAGATCAGGTTTAGACCGTCGTTGTTTACTAGCGGGGCCGTTGCTGTGGCGACCACCGTTGTGGTCTAACTTATCGCCCGAGCCAGCCCATGCTTCGAACTTGCATGGCATGCTCGGCTGGGTACGACCGTTCCATGGCTACAGGTTGTGCGACCGAGCGATTGGGTATTGGGGTATTGATATGGCGGAGATGCAGGTGGTTGCTGGTGAGCAAGTCACCGCGTCGACGTCAAAGACACTCGTGGTTTATTATGAGCCGTCCGGTCAATGTCGCACCGCATTCAACGGAACCAGCCAGACGGCGAGGACCCACGGTGCATGCCTCATGCGTTGAAACAACAGGAAAGACACATGCACAGTCGTGCTGTCAACAACGCCGGAGCAAATGTCTCGCGGCATCTCAATGGTGTCCCCCAAAGCCATGGAATCCAGCTTCGAGTCTCGAGGTCTCAGCCCTAGGGGGTCAAACACGGGTCACTCACAATATACTCTCACAACGAGAAGCAGGAGCCAGCAGTGGATGAAGAACAATGGTCAAGTCTCATTTTGCCAATTTTACGAAACGGGTATACAATACATGTCCCTATCACTCCTCCCAGCCCTCACTTGCCCCCCTTCCCCCTTCCCCCTACCGACCTCTCTCATAGCTAGAAAGTCTTGCCCTTGTAGCCCTTGGGCGACAGGACGACGTTATACTCGAGCTCTAGAGTAGCCTTGTCATCGCCCTTCAATGGCTTAAAGTCGACAACAAGATCGTCCTTGACGGCAAAGACGGTATCGGTCTCTAGCCAGGGATCGTCTTTGGGATACAGCTGCGTGGTGCAGCCCTTGAACTCGGGATGGGTCACCTGTTGCACGAGAAGTCATGTCAGTCGGCGCTTACCAGGTTTTCTCTTTTTTCTTTTTCTCTTTATAAGCGTCTTCGACAGTGGCCTTTTGGCAGACTTGGCTCTCGAATCCAACAAACCAGCAGAGAAAGAAACATACCATGATGTGAATGTGTGCAGGACGCATGGGATGACGGTCCATCAAGGTAAGAAGCTGGTAAGCCGGGCCGTCGGTAGGCAACGAGTACGCGGTAGGATGGTAGCAGTAGAACCAGTACTTGCCGTTCTCGTCGGCTCTGAACTTGCCACGCAGGTTGTTGGGGGTCTGGTTCTCCGGGTCCTGGAAGTCGTATTTGCCGTTGGCGCTGGCCTGCCAGATGTCGAAGACGGCGCCGGGGATGGGCTTGCCGGTGAGGAGGTTGGTGATGGTGCCGTGCATTTTGCACACGCGGCCGTTGGGGTTGGGATTCTGGATGATGGTGCTGCCGTTGTCGCGGAATGGCGCATCGGGAGACCAAAAGGGCCCGAGGATGGAGGATGAAGTCGGGTCGATGTCGCCTTCGGCGATGATTTTGTTGGCGATTTCATCGACGAGGCTGTCATTGTTTGGGGAGTCAGCTGTGTTTTTTCTTTTCTTTTCTGACGGCGAGAGGGAGAGAGGGAGAGAGGCAGAGAGGCAGAGAGAGAAACAAACATACGATTCAAGACCAAGAATGTCGGAAACCCGGTGCGCCTCGTTTCTCGTCTTGGTGGACGTCTGTCCGATAAAGTTGACAAAGTGAACGCCAGCCATCCACTCGTCATTGGTCAGCTCGACCTCTCGCGCAAAGTCGTGCAGGTGTCTGATCAAGCTGCTGAGGACCTGGCGATTTCTGGGTGTCACGTTGGGGCCCATGGTCTTGATAACATGACTGGTGAAGTTGGGATCGAAGCGGCTGGTTGGTTCGGCAGAGGAGCCGTTTGTGAGACCGTTGGACGTCATGGTGGGAGTGAGGGGCGTAGGAAGATGTAAAGCAGAGAGAAAAAGGGAGGAAATGATGACAACTTGATAGCAATCGGGCAAAGGGTAGGCAAAGAGCTCAGAGATTGCTACTGCTTGGAGTGGTGAGATGGACTCTCCGGTACTTGGTGGTCTTGGAGGCAAACAAGTCAAAGTTGAAAGTCTGGAAAGTAGCCTATTTTAAAAAACAAAGAAACACAAAAAGCTGTTCAACGGGGACTCATGTCAGATATATATTTTCCCTCGGGTCCTCCGCCACATGCAACCCCCAATTCGGATCCGGCCATGCCAGGCTTCGGCATCAGGATGCGGATTACCTTCGCACGCCCGCCTGTTGGCAAGCATTCACCCACCGTCCCCTCTCTGCCTGCCAACCCAAGTAAAGGCCAATCCCTAATCATGAGAAAGAAATACGCAGATCTGGATAGCCGAAACCCCGCAAAAGGGTCTGAACCAAGCACTCCCAGGCGGACACTCAGTTCACAAGCCGGCTTCAGCATCCGGCGGATAACCCTGTTCCTATTGGCCAGAGCCTAGGGAATCTCGGATGACAAGGAATTGCCGCCAGAGGTTCCCGAGTGCGTCACGGGCGCCTCGCACACATTGTGGCCCGAGCTCAACCAGTAGTGACTTGGGCGGGGTGAATGTTTTACCCTGAGCTGTAGTGCTGCTTGCAAGTTACATTTGGGACTCCCGAGGCGCGAGACCCGAAGGAATAGTAATTTACGTACCGACTGAATGAATATCTGCAATTAGTTACCTTCTCCATTCTTCATTCTCGCATTCATCATGAATCCCGAATGCCTTGAACGTGACTTCGCAATAGTCCCGTGAGTGTCTAGTTTCCCTGGCACAAAGCATCTTCAACTCACATCCAAACCTCACCTCTTCACGTCTACTGCAACACCACAGCTCCAACAATGCCCGTCCACCACCTCATGGCCGGCACCTGGACGCCGCCAGGAGCAATCTTTACATTCGCCTTTGACGACCAAAGGCTCACCGTCGAGCTCATCAAGCGAACACCAATCCCAGAAGATGAACCTATTTCCTGGATGACATTCGACGTAGAGCCACCTCCTCGCCTGATATCTGTCCCAAAAACAAATCCATCCTGACACACCCAACAGCACTCCAAAAAGAACATCTACGGCGCCGCCATGAAGAAGTGGTCCAGCTTCGCCGTCGAATCCCCAACAACCATCATCCACCAAGCCTCTCACCCAATGCTTCATCAGCGTATGCATCCCTTCTTCTTCATCTTCCTCCTCCTCCTCCTCCTCCTCCTCTATACTAAATCATACTAAATCTCCAAACACCATGTAGCCGAAGCGTCGTCACTGTCCACCAACACGCGCGCCATCTTCCTCCTGGCCGCCAAGCAGCCGCCCTACGCAGTATACTGCAACCCGTTCTACAGCCACGCCGGCCACGGCACCGTCTTCACCTCATCCCCCTCGGGAGCCCTCGACACCGCCGTCCAGCACTACGCCTACCAGCCCGACTCTGGCATCCACGGCATGGTCTTCGACCCGTCAGAAACGTACCTCTACTCCGCAGACCTCAAGGCCAACAAGCTCTGGGTTCACCGCCGCCTGGCAGAAGCACACTCTCCCCCCCGGAGTGCGACTCTCGAGCTCGTCGGCAGCGTGGAATGCCCCGACGACAGAGACCATCCCCGCTGGGTGGCCATGCATCCCTCCGGGAACTATCTGTACGCCCTCATGGAAAAGGGAAACCGCATCTGCGAGTATCTCATTGATCCCGCGACGCACATGCCCGTGTATACCCACAGGCAGTACCCTCTCATCCCGCCAGGCATTCCCGACCCGTGGACCATGTATCGTGCTGATGTGTGCTCGCTATCTCACTCGGGCGAATATCTGTTTGCCACCTCGAGAGCGAACTCGTTTGATCTAACAGGCTACATTGCCGCCTTCAAGCTGAGCAAGAATGGCGCCATCGAGAGACAGATATGTCTCAACCCTACACCCACGAGTGGCGGCCACAGCAATGCCGTGGCCCCCAGTGACTGGTGTGATGACTGGGTGGCCATTACCGATGATCAGGAAGGTTGGCTGGAGATTTATCGCTGGCAGGATGAGTTTTTAGCTCGCGTTGCTAGAGTGAGAGTGCCCGAGCCAGGATTCGGCATGAATGCCATTTGGTACGACTAATACAAAGTTTTTTTCCCCCCGGTCGAACAGCCATATTTGACAATAGAATTGAGCGCTTTTGAACCTTTTCCATCTTTCGCACGTACAGCCTGAGCCTAGCCCTTGAATACCAGCAAGTCAATTGTCCTACAACTCCCAAAAAAAATAAGAAGAAAAAATTACCAATAACAATAATATAGACCTGGCCCAGGTACACCAATGCGAAATGCTATTTCGTTTGCTAATTCCTCCGAATAATACAGTCTTCGCCAATGGCACAAGGCCGACAATAATATGAATGAACCGCTTATCTACTGGAAAAAAGCCGCTATTCCCAAGTATCTCGGGGTCTTACTGGCGTTATGGCGTTTTGGGTCTAGCTTCGTCCTTTTTTGACTTGTCGGATCCGTACCCGTTCTCTGGTCCGCTGCCATTCAAGCTGATCGCGTTGAGAAGAGGTGTTGTCTCATCGCCGTCTGTGACATCGTCCTGTTTAGGCACCGGCCCGTCAACCAGTCTGCTATTACCGTCACCCGCAACAAAAGTCGTCACACTGAGGCCTTGTTTAATCTTGAACACATTGGTGCGAGTATTTCGAGGGTTAGCCGCACGATTCGAAGGAGCCAGGTGTCGAAGTTGCTGTTTCATTTCGTCTAATGATGCCTTGAAGGGCACGGGTTTGTTGTTGGGTGTGCCATCTGGTCCAGCAGAGCCGCGTCGTTTCATGAAGGTCGCCGTCTTGGCAGCCCTTTCTGGAACTCCGTCGCTCATCGCTCCAGGTGAACCAACCAAGGGCTCGGGAGCATCAAGGTTTTCTGCAATGTGGACCAGGGCTGCGCCATCTCCTGGTTTCCGGCCCACGGCAGCAGCGCCAGCTTCAGCGTGAATGCGCCGGGCTCGAGGAGCCGGTGTCAGACGCCGAATGGCCTTGTGTACATCAACATACACGTCTGATTCGTCCACGATTTCCCTAGATTTACCGTCAGATACAGCCCCTCATACAAAATCCAGTCTGAACTCACTCTCCAATAAGCTCCTCAATGACATCCTCCAATGTAACGACGCCCAAAGCACCGTGGTCGGATCCGGGATGATCCGATACCAAGACCATGTGAGATTTGCCTTCCTGGAAAAAGTTGATAATATCCAAGCAGCTGGTTTCTGGTCTGGTCTCAACAATGGCCCCAAGAGGAATTTCTCGGACAGGTATTCTGTCTTCTGGGTCGTATGTGATGAGAGTCTTGACAAGGAGCATGCCGACAAAGTCTGTGGGATTGCCTGAGCGATAAATCGGGATGCGGGAGTAACCGGACGACAGAATATTATCCATTGTCTTTTCATCCAAAACGTGATCCTCAGCCAGAGTGTACACATCGGTCATGGGAGTCATGACCTCTGATACGGGCTTGTCCTTGAGGTCTAGGACAGCGGTGATTATAGTTACTTCGTCTTGATTTAGCCGCTCGGATAGTTCTCCAAGAGACTTGTGAAGAGTGACAAGGGTCTTGAGGCCACTCTTTTTATACACTGTGCCATGGTCCTCGCCGAGGATCCAATCAAGCAGCTTCGCGGTTGGCCACGCAACGGGGCTCATGAGGTACATTAATATGAGAACAGGTTGCGACATATACCCACCAATCGGCAGGCCGTAGCGGACGCAGATAGACTGAGGGACGATTTCGCCAAAGATGACTATAAACTTAGGCGTTAGGAAAAATACTCCAGATTCCACAGGGGGTGCCAGTTGAAGCTAACCAATGAGAACGGTACTGCCGACAACAGCAGCAACACCGCCACCCAATGTCCTGTCGAGGACAACAGGCAACGATTCGTTCACAATAACGTTGGCAAGGAGCAAAGTAACGAGAACCCAATGCTTGCCCTTGTTCAACAAGCTCAATACTCTCTTGGCATTCTTGTATTGCGGTTCCATTGGATCGCCAGACACGACTTGTAGATAAATGCTATCCTGCCCCATCAAGCTATAGCAAAGACATGGTCAGCATGGCCGTCATGAGCACTTCGACATCGAGCAGCTCAAGCAGTTGCACCGTGAGCAAGAGATTGTCAACTCACGCAATAGTTAAGCCAGCAAAAGCCCCGCCGAGTAACACGAGGGCCATTGAGGCAACATAAAGCACCCACACCGATGTGCCTTCGGGGTCATCATGACCATGCGGCTCTGTCTGGACCAATGGCGCAGCTGTGACAGACGACAAGCCAACGCCTAGCACACGGCCCATCCCAAGGACGCATGTTCGAAAGCTTGCAAGGCCTCCAGAACCAGCGTTGCGCTGCATAGTCGGCCGTAAGGAATACTCGGTATCGGAAGCGGGGAGATGATTACCCAGACAAACAGTTGTTGCGCTCGTGGGGTTGAGAAAGTCCGACAGTTGATGCTTGAGACAGCACTAAAAATAGGCCAACGAGTACAACAAATATTAGATAACAAAATCTATGCAGGCAAACGTAAGTTCTGAGAAGACGGTTTTAATCCCAGTCCGAGGCCACAAGAGACTCTACGTCCACCAGTAGTTGGTTTCTGTGTAGGCGATCGCAAACTTTCGAAGGCGTCAAGGATGTAAGGGCCGGCGGTGGCCAAAGTAAATTCAGAGAATCACAATATTACTCGACCGATCGAATGGCGCTTGGCCGTGCGGCCACGATGGAGCAATATGTCGTCAAGTCGTAGCTAGAATAGTCAGCAACGGATGAATGAGGTGACAGAAAGTTAAGTTGGATGAGTCGGCCAGAGCTGGTGCTAAATGTGCTTCTGCCATTGACGGATAACGGTGGGGACCCATGCCGAGCAGAACAACAGGCAGGTGCTAGGTGCCACAGGGCCCGTACCTGCTGTGACTTTACCGCACACAAGAAGCTAGGTTCAGCGACGAAGGGCGGGGCTATATGCGCGCGTTGATTGGCTATATGTTCCAACTTTTTCCAGGGCTCTGGCAGCGATCTGCCAATAGCAGAACATCATCCCTTCCATGTTCAAATGGTTTGCAAGCGATTGATGATCTCGCTGATCAATCAGGTACGACCTACGCCAAGATGAGGTGATGTGCCTAAGCCGTGGGGGTATACATGCACCCTTACTTGAGACTGTCGTACGCTTTCGACAAGAGAGTTTCTTCTTGAGACTCGTGTGGACGGGCTGACGAACATCATCCCAATTATGACAGCGTTGCAGTGGAGTCCAAACTGAGGTCTCCACGGATGTCTGTGCATGTCACAATAATTATGTATGGTCTCTCTGTACGGCCCCTCTGTACGTACATACATACATGCAAGTCCACCCCCATTGCCCAGTCAGTCAAGTGGCATGTTGGTTGGGGTTGTGCTATTTGTGCGGCAGAAAATCGTTATTCGTGCGGCACTAAGCCCAATTGTTGGTTGTATCTTAAATGGAAAACTTTACGTGTTCCCCATCGCGTCCCTCTTGTTATTCCATAGGCTTGGGAAAGCTCCTTGATCACAATTGTACCAAGCTGACATCCAAAACACCTTCTGACTTGCGCAACCCCTCCATAACTTTTGCGTCAACTTCGCCATCGACTCCCAGAATCATAAGAGCCTCATTGTCCTTCTGAGTCGGGGGCGTGTTGTGACCCTGTCGGGCTTCTGCATCAAGACTGGCCACCTGCATGTATCGAATGTTAATGCCATGAGAGCCGAGGACCATGCCCACTCCACCAATCTTGCCAGGTTCATCGTAATTGTGAAGAATAATCAGAGTACCCTCAGGACTGAAGGTTGCGTTGAAGCAATCCAATTTTGAAATATAAACCCTCTTGTCGGAAGCATATCCCTCGATGATTTGCTCTGTTTTGCCCCCGATTGGCCCCTCGGCAATCGACTTCAAGGTCACCAGGTTTAAAAAAGTCATGTCTTTCGATTGGTGTGCGTGTGTCTCATTGATTACAATACCCTTCTCTTTAGCGATAAGAGCGGCATTGACGATATTGACGTGGGAGTCGCTAAACGACGCTACAAGGCCCTTGACGAGGGCAGCAAAGAGTGGCTTCGTATTGGGCATCCCAGCCAGATCACCGCGATAGATAAGCTCGAACTTGCGATCGCCAATCATGCCTCCCTTGACCTTGACGAAGTGTTGAGTATAGAGGCGTCCCATTTTCTCGACCAATTGCACCGCAGGTTGAAGCTTACGGTACTCTTCCGGCAAGATTATGGGGGCATTGACGGCACTTGTCGGCAGGCCACCACGCAGGATCTCAAGCATCTGTGTACATACGTCCATGGATACGTTTTCCTGTGCTTCTACTGTGGAAGCCCCTAGATGTGGTGTGGCCACGGTCTTGGGATGCCTGGCGAGCTGCGCAGCGACGGAGTCAGGCCGAAGAGGCTCAGTTGTGAAGACATCCAAGCCTGCGCCAGCAATCCATCCCTCGTCTAAGCCCTTGAGCAGCGCGGCTTCATTGTAAACTCCACCTCGGGCGACGTTAAGAATCCGAGCCGTCTTCTTCATTGTCTTTAGCTCTGCCTCACCAATCAGATCCATTGTCGTTGCCAGCAGCGGTGTGTGAATGGTGAGGAAATCAACCTGCGGTAGCACGTCCTTGAGGCTTGGTACGAGCTCAACGCCTGCTTGGCGAGCAAGATCAGCACTGGCATAGGGATCGACGGCCTTGACCTGCATTCCCAAGCCCTTGGCCATTCTGGCAACATTCAGGCCAACTTTGCCTAGGCCAACGATCCCGAGCGTCTTCCGACCAACTTCCACTCCAACGAGCTTGCTACGCTCCCATTTTCCTTCTTTGATGGTCCCATCGGCACGGCCAACATTCCTGGCCGTCGCTAGCAGTAGGGCAATGGTGTGCTCGGCGGCTGCCAAGATATTGCCTGCAGGAGAGTTGATGACGATGATGCCTTGCGTCGTAGCCGCTGGCACATTGATGTTGTCGACACCAACACCAGCACGTGCCACCACCTTGAGCTTCTTCCCTGCTTGCAACACCTCTGGTGTGACTTTGGTTTCTGATCTAACGATAAGACCCTGATAGCTAGGGATAATAGAAATGAGTTCTTCGGCGGAAAGTCCCAGCTTGACATCGACATCATAATGGGGCGTAAGCAGAGCAAGGCCGTCAGGCGAGACTTTCTCAGGGACAAGAATACGAGCTCTCGCAGGAAGAGAGTCTGGTGTCAGATTTAAGATGGCAGAGGGTGTCATGATGATGGGAAAGAGGACTCCGAGTATGATTAGTTTCAAGCGCAGGGGTATAATAATGGTGCAAATGCAAAGACTCAGAAGTAATCAAGTTGGAGAGAGAAGGGATAGAAAAATCAAGGTCAGGGTCAGGGCCAGGCAGGAAAGGTTGGGGGGATAGGACTAAATTTAACCAATTGCCCAAAGCCAAAATGACGTTGATGGTTTCCTGCCACTCGGGTCAGACTGGATTGCCAGACTGATTGCGAAGTACTCTGTACGGCAACCCTTGGATCCAGGTAACCAACGAGCGAATCGAAGTAGCTGACGAATATGTTGGGCCGAATCAAATCTCTGTCCTAGCCCAAATGCGTCCAGCATGAATGTGCCCTGTGGTTCCCGGTCGTGGTGATGCAAGCCAATGCGGACTGCATCCAGATGCCGCAGATTTTGCTTTGTCTGACTGGGACGAGTCATCAAGGTCGCTGGGGACGCTTTGCTACCCCATGTTTGCCATGTTACACGAACAGAATGGCGGACGCTAATGGGCCAAGCCATACAAATGTCGAGGATTAGGCCTGCATGTTCTGAATGTCTCTCGTGTTGTGTGCACTGTGAGCATGTTCTTTGCCCCTCCTCCGCCCTCGTCGTGGCTGACCCGTGTCTTCCATGTTCAGTAGCCTGTGGCCACGGTCAGCACTTGAGACTTTGTTGCGGACTTGTGTGAGACCATGGCCTGCAGGCGTCAGGAGCGGATAGACACACGCATGCGGGCCATGGGGAGGCAAAAGAGTGCGAAGAGTGGCTGGTTGCTGGCTGCTGGCTGGAAAGCTTAGGGGAGCGCCTCCAGACGGCTCCCAGTCCAAATTGGCAGAGCCAGTTTAGTCGCCATAAGCTGGGATGCTTTTGGAGGTCCAGATGGTTGGTGGAAGGCGGGCAGCACGAAAGTGGTCACGGCTTAAGAGAGGTTGAGCAATGAGGACTCGCAGTACGGAGTACTCCGAAGTTCCGAACCTGAGAGCTGGCAACTTTGCCAGGGTAGCTGCCGGCTCGCCGCCCCACTTCCCCACGTTGCATTAGAATGGCTGACGACTGCAACTTGGCTCTTGAACCTCACCAAGCAAGAAACAGCCCCATCACCGCCGGATGGTCTGACGAAAAATACCTACCCGGTACGGAGTAGTACCCTCTAAGCATAGGATCTACTAGGAACCTCCCACCTACCTAGGTACACCTAGTAGGTACTCCGTAGGTAGGTATACATACCCACGTACTCTGTTGTCCCAACTTTGTGACCTCACCTTGTCCGTCACCTGCATCGAATATTCAGCGCAATTGCTCTCAGAACGAGTCTGCCGAGTCCCTACGACATGCAGAATCTATACGATTAATTGGCTGCTCTCTTATTGAGTTTAGGGGCTTCAAGGCGTGAAGACTAAAAACCAGGTCGTTGCGTAATGTGCACTTCGGTCAATCTCCAACTCGGCCACAGCCATGACAGCATCGTCAGACGCATCATGGCAATGCCCCGTCTCAACAACCGCCCGTCGAATCGGCTTTCCAACGAGAGACGGAATCTGTGTAAATTCTTTCTTTTGCAATACTTGTGAGAAATTTCATCCGGTCTATTTGATTCAGCAGTCCTAACCCGTCACTGCAGAGATCAGCGCCAAGCTGTGCATGAGGCACCTGCAGCCACACCAGGTAAGCTGCTCCACGGCCTGCTTCCAGCGTTGCGCAATATCTCTCCTCTTCCCCTTGTCGCAGCGGGCGGGTATTCCAATGAGGCATCCCATCCAGAAGCCGAGTACTTGTTTCTTGCTTGCCTCGCGTATTCGTGTGGTGGATTCAACCTTGGCCGAAGGGCGCAGGTCCTGTGACGCAACAATAGAACCCTGTGTTGGTTGGTCTGGCAGACATTCGGCCCATGCCAATTTATTGATATTGCGATATAACAGAGGATGGCGTACGGAATGCATCGCATAACACCCCAAGACTGTCATACTAGATCTGACCACTTTAGGCAACCCATACATATATTTAAATGTTTTTGACCAAACGAGATGAAAGAAAGTACACCTCCTGCTCGGGCCTTAGTACAATGCCATTTGGGCCTGCATACCCCTGCATTGCTTGCTTCTATACACTGTACTTGTCACTGTACTTGTCATTCTGCACAATCTCAACGGAGTAGCCATCCGGATCAAGCAAGAATGCGACGTTCCTCATGCGGCCGTCTGTAAGTCGCTTCCTCCAATCGCACTTGAGATCCTCGAAACGCTGGCAAGCAGCATCAAGATCATCAACAGACACGCCTATTTACCGGTAAGTATGGGTCCCTTGAAACACATTTCGTTAGTCAACTAGAGGAGCACACTGGACTCACAGATATGCCCAAAACCCTGGGGCTCATCATTGCCATTGTGGTACTTGAAGTTGGCATCCTTCTCCGTGCCGTAGTTCCATGTCAGTTCGAGCAAGCCCTCACGGTTAGCCTGAGCAGTGTCCTGAGCTCCAGGGTACCCGAGGAAGTAGAGGTTGAATCCGGCAGCTTCATTCTCAGAGGTCCTTATGAGCGTCATTCCCATGACTTCTTGATAGAACTTTAGGGACTTTTCGGCGTCTTTAACGCGAATCATGGTATGGTTCTGTCAAATTTGTTAGCGAGTTGGCCAGTTGGTCAGGATCAGCTATGGGCTCCAGAGTCTTACCATTCGGTAGGTATTCGGATCAGTCTCCTTGATGTTCTCAGTCTCCTCCAACGATTTCTGTCCAATGATTTCGACCCAGTAGCCGTCCGGGTCCAAAACAAAGGCAATATGCTTCATCCTGCCATCAGTAAGCTTCTTTTGGAACCTGTACCCGGCATCCTCGAGACGCTGGCAAGCGGCCTGGATGTTGTCCACACTAATGCAAGTGTGGCCGAAGCCACGGTGCGGCTCTTTGTTACCGGTATTCACGGTGTAACTGGGATCGTTTTCAGTGCCGTAGTTGTGAGTGAGCTCGATAACACCTTCGCGGTTCACGTGGGAGTTGCCGTGGGAAACAGCCTGGGGGCTGTTATATCCCATAAAGTACAAATCAAACTTGGCTTCGGGGAATTCATATTTCTTGACTACCGACATGCCCAGGAATTCGTAGAACTTGACTGACATTCATCACGGGCCATCAGTACGAATCCTGAAGTAGCCAAAACCAGTGCACGCATCGCTGCAAAGTTTCACCGAAACTCACCGGACTCCTTGGCATCCTTAACTCGAATCCTGGAAAATTTTACGTCAGCTAGGGCTCATTGGATCGGCATCAACGATATGGGCTTAGACTTGCATCGAGTGGTTAAATTTGTATGTGGTGGTGTTGGTTGTGGCCGCCATTTTTCTTAACTGCCGTCCTAGATGGGCTTAGCCTGGGCTCCGTGAGCATGAGATTGTCGTACGCAGTGGGTCGCTGTACCTGGCTTGGGGACTTTGAGCGGTGATGAGATGGGCTGTAAAAGGTTCTTGATAATATGGAGTCGTTGTGCGGCCCTCAGGGTGTTCATCGGGGTATGGACAGTCTGACCAAAGGTTCAGATTGTCTATGTTCTCGACTTGAAGTGAGATTGTTGAAGAGCTGGGCTTGCCCCGCCGTTCGTGCCCCGCCGTGTTTGCTTTGTAATTGTCATCATCAATTCGCGGGCCGACCAGTCCCCTGACGTCAAAGTCATCCGGCTTGGCGGGGTTCTGGTGAAGCACCCCGAAAATCAAAGGCGACACGCTTTATCTCGTCGTGGTCAACGTCTCTGGTGACGGGTACGTAGTACGTACAACCTTAAAAGAAAAGGTGGGGACGTTTTCGGCAACATGACATGGAGAAATGCTGTGTGAGCATCCTTCGTGCTATACTCGCATACCCTCGAACTGGTCAATGATATTTTAGACGTAGACATCCTTTAAATGCCGTGACCAAGCACTTCCTCTTACTCCCTACCAACCTAGTACTAGGTAGGGTAGTCGACGCAGCCCAAACCTGCTAAGTTAACGTTAATAAGCCAGACATTCAAGAATCAACATCAAGTAAAGACGCAAAGTGGGGCCATCATGGCGGGTATTTCGGGCGCTATTTGGCTTGTTCCCAGCCAGTCAGAGCTCACCGCTGGCCACATCAGTTGACCCATTGACGCATTTGGCTTGTCACCGCATCGAAAGGCTCTCAGCCCACCAGACCAAATCAGACCAGTTGACGTCTCTTCCTATTAGTGCCCACATGCAGCCCAGCAAGCACCAGACTAGAGGCGTTCTGGAGACGCGGCTCGACGACAACTCAGAAGCTTCTCCTGCCATAGCCGCCTATCGTCTCCTCACTACGCACGCCGCGTCCTCCTCTCATGGGCGAATACTTGTAATCGCCGCAAAGTGATTATAACTTGGCTCATGCGACCAACGCGCCCTCGACCTGACTGCCCAGCTTATTTCAATGCTTGAGTACCAATGGCTTCCCTCACGCCCTGATCCTGCTCCCTTCGTCCCACCTCGAGTTGCAACGTCTTGAACAGCGACGACCAGGACCTGACCCTGGAGATACTTGCTTGAATTCGCCAGATTATCCAAGCACTCGAGCAGGGGGGGCGTTGAATCGACCCAAAATGGCAGAGTACAACATGGACGAGTCTGCCATCATGGACAGCGGTTCCCCCGGCGGTGGCCCAAGCGAAAGACTTGGCAGTCGCCATGTCGACTCGGCATACGACAGGTCGCCTCTTGCAAACAAGACGCGATCGTTGTCCGACGGCGGCGGAACACCATCCAAGCTGTCGCCATCACCACTTATTGTCGAAGCATCGCGAAGAACATCCAAGGACGACACCCATATCAAAGACGCGCAGCTGCCCTCTACGCCGCGACACTCCGATTTCAAGGGCCTCTCATTGCAGATGGCTCCTCGACAGTTCACACCACCACCTGCCTCGAATCCCTATGTCAAGCCCCCGCCTCTTTCTCCGAAACTCGATCACTCGCAGATCTACGCGTCGCCGACCAACATTCTTCCCCGCAGGTCGCGTGGCCTAGACTTTTCTCGTGCTGCCACTAGCTTGCATCACTCCACCCTCGCCGAATCATCGCCAGACTCATCGCCTACTATCGGCGACCGGGCTGTTAACATCCCCGATCGAAGGAACGAGTATAGCGGTCCCGAGCACACTTCTTCATCACTCTGGTCTATTATGGGGAATCACGAGAAGATGAATATTAGCAGCTCTCTAGGAAGCACCAACCAGGTCGCGGTTGGCTCTGATTCATCAAGCTCATCAGATGATGACGACTTGATGGATGAGGACGTGGACGAGCCGTATCTTACAACCCCTCAAGTCTCTAAGACTACCAACATTGGGCCGACCGGACCATTCGGGTCCCCTGCTATGAGCAGTCTCATGAACTTTCAGCAAAGACAACGCCACCGCAAACAACCCAAGAAGAAGGTACGCGGACCCTTGGGTCTTGGGTTCAACATGGCCGCAGCCACTCTTTCCAAGTCTCCGCCTAGCAACGGCGCGAAAGCAAGGAGGGAGAGTATTAGTTGGCAGGCCAACCAGCTACACATCTCTGCCGCCGATGGCTACGAAAGTGGAAAATCCCAGAGCGATGCCGACGGCAATGGCGGCGGTGAGGGATCACAGCGAGGGGTTATCAAGCGAGCTGTGACTCGCCGTGGCAATCTCCTGCCAAAAACTAAAACCTTTGCCCGAATCCGTGCAGCACTTTTTGAAGAGGTTGCGCCAGCTGAGGCCGAAACTCGACGAGAAGCAGAAGTTGTCAAACAAGTCCGCGAAAGCGATGTCGCACTTGAGCCCCGAGTTTCGCAAGCACCCGCTGAGTCTGGCGCAGCCGCTAGCGTTTTGTCGTCGCCAAACCTAGCAAACAACGAATCTATCGATGATCAAGAAGATGACGTGAACATGCTGAGCGACTTGGCTCCCGGACTTTCTAGTACCTTCAAACAACAGGCCATCAAGAATTCCAAGGGGAAAACGTTTTGGGACACGTTCTCAGAGTCGAGCAGCATGGGCGGAACGAGAACAACGCCACCTCCAGCAGCCTTCTTGCCCCGAGGGTCCTCTTCTGGTATGAGCGAAGACAATGGTATCGACTCTCCTGCGCCTGGACTTGCATCCGCACACTCTGCCTCGCAGAGTAGCAACGCGCAAGGGCCAAGCGCAGCAGAAATAACGCGCAGAATTAACAACAAGCGTCGCCGCGACGACGATTTTGACCCTGTTAGCTTCAAGAGACGAGCCGTCAGCCCCGGGATGAGTGCCCACAACTCTCCCATCTTACAGAGCCCTATGCAGCGCGACTCGGCGCCATGGGGCTCTCACCCCGGCAGCACCGGAGGCGACAAAGCAGGTAGCAGTGCTCAGAGCGAGACGGGAAGCGTTAGTGGCGGTACTCCAGCGAACCCTGCAGCCGGGACAACTGGGCGACTAAACAGCAAAGGAAGAATAGGATTCCAGGGTATGGTTGATACCAACGACGGTATAATGCGAATGAGCATCGAGTAGTAAAGGATGTCGGAATGGGCGTATAGCAAAGGGGCTGTGACACTCTCTGGCGCCGTATTTGGGGACATGTGTGTTACGGAGTAATTCCTGGTGCATGAGCAGGCGTTTTCTTTTTTAATCGATGTATTAATTATGGCGTATGGATCGACATTTGCTTTTTTGGTCACGGCCGCAAGCACATTTTTGGACTTTACGTTTCACCATGAGCACTGTTTAGCGGTCGAGAATCAGCATGTCCTATGGACGTCAAAATTTATTCGGTTGGAAGATTAGCGTTATATCACTACAAGTCAACATGGTAGATTCCCTATTTGTTCCAGTCATTTCGGTTCATGGAAGGGAAAAAGACTCGTCACGCTGAGAACTATGAATGGCGTGTGTCTGCAACTGTAAATCGGACACTCAAATTTGCAAATGTTGTGAGGGATTTTGGTATCTAGAGAGACGCGCTAAAATAAAGCCAATTGAGGTATTTTTTCCTTAAAAAAACGACCTCATGCCGTGAGAGATGAAATACTTCCTAAATCATTTGCCGTAGTCCTCCTTGCCAACGCCAGTGAATGCCCCAAACGCTGACTCTGCCGTCAGAAGAATGCAAAACGAGCCTCGACCCCTAGCCCTACCGTCTTTCTTTTGTTTCCTTCCCTTTAATCACTTGACCCGACCCCCTCCTCTGGCACCCGCAGCGTGCCCAGCTTGTCGTCCAGCCACCGCGCCAAGTCTGCGGCGTGCCTCCTCATCGCGACGACGGAAGCGGCGCCCACGCTGTCCAGACTCGACGTCGTTTGGGCCCCGGCGCTGACCAGACTCTCCACCTCGCTCGGGCTGCCGGTCACATCGCCGTTTTCGTGCTGCAAATGCACGTCGGACTGGAGGTCGTGCGCCGAGGGACCGACACACACGAACAGCAGGCCGCACTTGAGACGGCGGATGATGACGGTCCCGCCGCTGAGCTGGACTGTGATGGTGACGGGTTTGACGGACCTGGCGGCTCTTCTCCTGGCGGCTGCCTTTTTGGATGCCGCGACATCGTGGGGCGCTACGTCGTCGTCGTCGTCGTCGTCGTCTTCGTCGTCTTCGTCGTCTTCGTCTTCTTTATCCGAGTTGTCGGGCCGGAGGACGGGCGAGCTGGTGATGGGATCGGGGGTTCGCGAGCCGGGCAGCGCGGAGGGGACGTCTACCGAGGAAGACGTGTGGATGGCGAGGAGGGAGGCCGCGACGGTGGCATGCGTGCGGAGGACAGACACCGGGTGCGGGCTTGCGTGGGCGAGGAGCTTGCCGTGGCATGTGGTGAGGAGGAGTGTGGGCAGCTGAGGGGTCTGGTTGGTGTGTAGAAAGGCGTTGAGGCGCTTCGTCAGGAGGAGAGGCGGTGTTGGGTTCGGGAGAGCCATTTCTGTGCTTGGGCCTGGAGTCCGAGACACCGTGGTGCGCTGCGTCGTCTTCGTCGTCGTCGTCGTCTTCGTCGTCTTCGTCGTCTTCGTCTTCTTTATCCGAGTTGTCGGGCCGGAGGACGGGCGAGCTGGTGATGGGATCGGGGGTTCGCGAGCCGGGCAGCGCGGAGGGGACGTCTACCGAGGAAGACGTGTGGATGGCGAGGAGGGAGGCCGCGACGGTGGCATGCGTGCGGAGGACAGACACCGGGTGCGGGCTTGCGTGGGCGAGGAGCTTGCCGTGGCATGTGGTGAGGAGGAGTGTGGGCAGCTGAGGGGTCTGGTTGGTGTGTAGAAAGGCGTTGAGGCGCTTCGTCAGGAGGAGAGGCGGTGTTGGGTTCGGGAGAGCCATTTCTGTGCTTGGGCTCTCAGGGTCGGCGAGCGGTCGCGACGTAAAGTCGGTGATGGAGATGTTCGGCAGGGCGGTGACGGCTTGTGCTGACTGGATGGGGGCGGCCGCGACAGACGATGCTGCGGGGGAGTTGGAGCCTGACTAAGGAGCTCGGGGGGTGGGACGAGGCGGCTTTGCAAAAGGCCGTCTGCGCGTCAGTATGGTGATGCTCGTGAGAATGACGTTGGCACGCTGGACAATGCGTTGCGTGGTGTGGTCCGACGTTGATTGCTGTTGGTAGCTCAAGGGACTGGTTTCAGTTCCCATGTCGGTACGTCCAGCTGTCTGGTGCTCTGAATGGCTGGCGGCTCTGCTCTGGAGGGATGGCGCGACCCACGCTGGCCCAGTGTCGTTTCTGTGCTGGATGGCGCCTGTAACTACTGCACCCTGAGATGTTTTGGTCATTTTGATGAATCCGAGGACGGTGCATTGAGCAGTGTCATGTATGGAATAGAACCGGGAAATTTTGAAAACCACTAGTGCAAGGGTATACCATATAATCACCGCACAAGTTCTCAATGACTCGAGGCCTGGCAAGCATTCGCTGGCATTAAATGCAATACAGTGATGCATGCCACGTGGATCAACCGTTCACATCAGGTGTAAAATGCTCGAATGCTCATCACGTACTCTGTAGTCTGTACAGCATGAACAACATAATTTCATTTCAATGTGCTCTTCAGTAACCAAACAAGTTATAAAATTTGCGTCATCTGGGAATGCTCGATCGACGGCTGCATATTGCGATTTTGTGAACCACTTACGAGGTGCTTTCCTTGATCATTCAAGCGCAGACCACCTGGCCGTGTTTATTTTACAGGGTTGATGACTTTTATCGAACAGAGTGTCCGTACGGTGTCGATTGAAATCTATGCGGCATGAAATCTGGGTTCCTGGAGACGATTCCACAGTGGGAAAGTCGATTATGCGAGCGGACGACAGTGTCAGGCTTATGCTGAATAGTAAGTAATGCCTCAATGCCTATCTACCTCGGCAGTGTTGCATGGACCGGCAGACTGGGCTATGATGATGAAACACTACGTGATGTCATGTATAAAATCCCCGCACGCATCGGCATTTTGTCAACTTGACGGCTTGAATGCGGTCACCGCGAGTTGGTGCGTCATATTCCAAATAAAGAATGTACATCCCGAGTAACACCATATGCTTAACGTTGGATGCTCACAAGAGAAACAAGTTGAGAAGAGACGTATCCCGAAGGAGCATGCAACACATGGTCCGACGACAGTTCACGGAAGAGGCCGCAATTGGTTTGAGGGAAAAGCTCCTCGTGCTAAATCTGTAACAGCCCAGCCGATCGGACACATGAGTCGCGCTCGCGCTCGCTGTAGGGCACCAGAATTGAAACACTGGACAGTATCACGGCAATTGACAATCACCTGTCCATGTCATCAGCAGTGCTTCGTATGCAACTACAGTCGGCAGGCATGCCTTCAAAAACATCCGGCGTGTCGTGCGTAACCCGACCTGCTTCGCGGAACGCCTCGTTTTCCAATGAGGCTCGCAGCTGTACTCCGTAGTTGACAGAGAATTTCATTTTACACATGCAGGCGTGTCACACGCCAATAACGCGGGAGGTCTGCAAGGCCGGCTGCCGCCGTGAACATGCGTTTCATGATCGACGGGCTTTTTGCAAGCACGGTGGCGGCGGAGACCACGATTTGTTATTGCATTGAAACGTGCGGCGGCAAACAGACGAAGGGAGAAGTGCATGCAGTGGCCGTCCAAATCGACGGACTGAAAGAATTGACTTGAGAGCCGCTGGCCATCTGTTAGAATGACACGGTCAAGGGTTGATGAAAAGGAGTGGGGGGAACAGGCGTTTGGGCGGTGGCCCAAGGCAGGCAGGCACAGGGCAGACACAAGGCAGGGCCCATGTACCCACCAAGCCAACTAGGCCAATCAGAATCCCGCCCCTTACAGCAACAGCGGAGGCTCCACCACATGCGCCTGGAGGCCTGGGCACCCTTGCAGCTTGCCCGAAACGGCCAATTGGGGTGGAGATGGACTGTTTCAACATTTGAATCTTGGTCAATTGACGCCAGGGATTCAGGTTACTCAGTACTATTGTCAACTGGTGCTTCCATAATAACTTAAGTGTTGTGCCATTGACCTGGCCGAGTCTGGGGTAGGGAGATCTTGGGCCGTCCGTCATCTGCGCTTCTGCCCGTTCCAGTCAACGAGGGACCTGGTCAATTGGAGGAAGAGGGCAGGCTGCTCACCATCTTCAACTTGACTCTCTCACCAGCCGCCTGCCTCTTCTTCATTCCAACGTGAACAAATACTCACTTGCGCTTTTGCCGCCTGCCACATCTCGGCGCGCGTCTCGTCTCGAACCCTGCACCTCAACCTATTGTATATGACGTTTGCCGTCTGCTACGCTACTTGGTGGTTACTGACTGGCCCCCGAAGTCTCGATACCTGGCCTTGAAACCAGAGACCTGCAGCGACCAGGGCCATTAAGCCAGCGTAGTTTGTTTTCCGCAGGGCTTTCCGAGCGTGCCGTCTCAAATTCTCTTCTTGGTACTCTATTATTCCCTACGTTTCGTTGCTTTTGTTGCCCGCCTGGCACAGTTTGCTTGCGACAACGGCGACTCGCTCACCTCTGCCTCTATTGTATTCTGTGACGATTGCCTTGGGCCGCAGTCATCCGTGTTTGGAAGTCATGGGCAACGTACAATAGCGGTCTAGCGCAAGACGTCTCCGTTTCGTCTTGACGTTGCCATCAGAGAGAACTCTTCTGCTCGCCGTCATATGTACCCTCTTCGAATATTATTTCATCTCTTACTTGGGAAGAAGGGCTATTCCAAGGCGAGGAGCGAAGTGTGCTGACGGCAGGACCGCGACACTGTGAAGCCCTCTCAAAGCCACCAGAACAAAAAAAAAAAAGCTCGCGCGAGTATCACGTCAATTTCCCTTTTCAATTGCTGAAGCCGGTTGGACCGCTGCATCTCTGGACCGTTGAACCGTTGAAACGCTGGACCGCTGGACGACGTCATCATCAACAAAATGGGCTGTGCAAGCAATCGAAAAAAGCAGACTCGAGAGTTCCTCGACCAGAAATGGGACTATATTAACCTGCAAGATTTCAAGGCCAAGGGCTGTGGCCCGGGGTTTGCGTATGGTTATTTGTGGTTTATGCTGATAATCTCGATCGCTGTCTACGCCGTCGACAGTTTCACTGCAGTGAATTTACTCGCCTTCGACCAATGGTCCTCCAAAATCGAGCCCGCTATTCCATTCAAAGTCTCCAAGTGGATCTTCTCCATTTGCATCCTACTCTCGTTTGTCAATCTTGCTTTCGAAGGTGTGCGAGCCTTTCGTGTGATGAGGCGTGGTAATGTGGCCGAATGTTTCCTCGACAGCTTAGCAGTTCGCTGGGAGTCGATCCGTTTCGGATCTGGTCAGGGTTGGAGGCGATTCTTGGTCTTTGCGGAGCTCACCAAGAGTAAAAAAGGATCCGAATACGTGGCCCTGTTCACTTACTTCAGCTTCAAGTGTACGTCTCTGCCTCGAGCCTGCTTGACTTGTCTACTTGATCCTAACTAACTTTTCACTACCAGCATGGATTCGCGTCATCTTTTGCTCTGGCCCACGTCAGGTTGTAAACGCTCTGACGTTGAGATCAGTATACGTAGCCAAGCTGGCACCAACCGCCACGAGCGTTGATGGAGCGATCCTGGGTTTCTTCGATAAGGTCAAGGTGCTGGCTTCGGAGGATTATCAGCAGGCAGTCATCTTATCAGGCATGTGTTTCACCTTTGTCGTTTGGGTTTTCTCGGCCTTATTCCTGTTGATGGCGGTGTTTTTCTACGTTTTTTTCCTGTTCCATTGGATCCCTCGTGCCGACGGTGGTTTGAGTGGGTACTGCGAGAGAAAAGTCAACAAGAAGCTTTTGCGCATCGTCACGACCAAAGTCAATAAAGCTCTTGCCAAGGGGCAAGCGGACAGGTTCAAGGCGGAATTGGAACTTGCCAAGAAGAATGGCGAGAAGGTGCCGTATCTGGATCGAGCGGCTACACTGCCGACACTACCCAACGTTCAGCCTGGTACGGATGACGGCCTTCCTCGAATGCCTACCTTGGGGCAGGATGAGAAGACGACCATGGTGCAGATGTATGCGTCTAGCCTTGGCTCACCTGGGAGCATCGAATTAAGCTCCATCGATGGCAGACGACCGATGCAACGAACTGGTACTTCTGGATCAGGCTCGAGCTACTCATCCCGGGCTCCTCTGGTATCATCTGCGGCAGACATGGCATATGGTCCATCACAAACACCGGCTACCGGCCTCCCAGACTTCGACTTGGTGAGCGGCATGGGCCCGCCAGCTCGTCCCGGTACATCCAACTCACAACGGAGCTTTTCTAACGGGCGACCTGGCTACGGGCATGTGGCAAATGGCTCAACTGGCACTCCTCTGAGAACCATTTCTGCCAGCCCTGCCTTGACGGACCGCAGCTTGCCCGGGCACCCAGGTCTTATGAGAACACAAACCAACGGTTCGATGAGCAGCAGCTATGGCGCACGACCGCCTACAAGCAGAGGTAACGCTGATCCAATGGGATTTGAAACGTCATCTCTCCCATATTCACAATACAATCCCTACGATGGCTTTGGTGGCCGGGAGATGCCAGCTCCATCTTATGGGAACAGCAGCGGCCTTTTCCCACCGGTCCGGAGCGTGACTGGGCCAGCAGGGCCAATCAGGCCTCAACAAGAGGGAGCTCAGTATTATCCTCCGCAGAGAAACATGACGTCGCCAATGCCACTTAGAGGATATGCAGACGGCCAGGCCCAGGGCATGCCACCAGGCTACCGCGTAGAAGCATATGGATATGATGTCGAATCACAACAGAATCGTGGATACTATTAAGATTGAGCTAGGGTATCAGGACGTCGGAGATCTGGACCCGCTGACCGGGTCAGGGTTGCAATTTGGGATATAAAATTTGACGACATTCGTTTTTTTTTTTTTAACTCTTTCCATAGGAAACAAGGCGTTGGACTTGGGCAGGGACGAAATCTACGAATGAAACTTGCGGTATATTTTCAATTTTTCCAACTTCAAAATAGATACCCGCACAAGTAGGACTAGGGTGTAGAGGCAGTTTTGCTTGGATCTTGTGCTCCATGGGTGGCAATCTTGGAGGCTGCCGGCAACAAGGTTTTATAAGACGGCGATTGATTACTCCGTCCGTACCACATTGTATAGTAAGCTGTCATCAGATAAAATACTACATTGATTCCAAAGAGCGGTTACAGTGGCGTCTAGCCCCCCTCCCCAATTGGCGCAGCTCCCGGCTTGCGAAATCTCACGGCGCAGCGACGCAATCAGCGGGGTTGTCTTGGGAAATAACTGCCAGTAAGACGCATAATAAGTTATTCATTCGCCGTGATGGAGGCGAGAGTGCTGGTCGTTTGATCCCCATTCGGCATGGCTGATTTGTAAACCGGCATCAAGTTGGACAAGTCAGCTTGCCAACAGCCAACAAGCCGGCGGCGCTCGTCTCGACAAAAGCCACTCGACAGCTGGTTTCTCATCGCATCCTCTGATGCGGAATCATTTCTGGCCCCAGGAAGGAAAGACCATGTTTCCGTAACCAGCACCTGCCTTCATGGGCATGCACTCATGCGCCTTATTAAACCTGACGTCTCTCCCACTGTCGCCTCGCAGGGTCTTTTGCCTGCCAACCGCACACACACGATGCCGTCCCTGGCGTCGACCTTCCACGAGGGCGAGGCCGCCATGCGCGACATGCTCAAGGTGCCGCCCGGCAGCAACCCGACCGCGCCGGGCCTGCCGATGCGGTACGCCCTGCGTGTCCGGCAGGCGCCGCTCGTGG